AGAAAATAAAAGCCTTTCACAATTACAAATCTATGACTCATAAAAACCAATTTATTATGTAACATCAAACAGGTTAGAGTACAGAAAACAAACTCACTTGAAAATGAAATGTAGGATTTGAAACTTTTGTTAAGACTGAGAAACCATCCCGAACAGGTACCACTATAGTTTTAGTATGGAAAGAAAATTATGTCAGAGATGCAACTAAAAAGAAAGCTTTGTAGAAGAACAAAATATTATACTTTTGGTATCAGAAGAACATAATGTTGTACCCATGGTCACATTGTTATGTTTGTTCAATGTTGTAACACTGGTTGGCTTCAAATTCTTATCTACATGTGGCTTTTGGGTGTACAAGAAAAGTGGCAATTCCTCCTGCTTTTCTAGTATGTGTTTGTCTTCTACTTTTGTAGGATCTTCAGTTTCAGAATCTCTGGATAAAATAAGAATATATTAAAGACAAAAGTGAAATGTAATATATAGTTCATTTTCATCATGATGAGAATGTCATGCTCTTCCTTGGTTCTGACAATGAGAGAACATGTGGTCAGACATTAATTGTTGTCAGATTCATGAGGGTATTGAGGAATGAGTACCTTAATTTCTCACTGCTTGATCTCTCAAGAATGGGTGCTGATCATGGAAAAAAGGTAAAAAAGACACCACAAATAAATTAGATAAATGGAAAAGCAATAATGGACTGACAGTATAATGTAATTGATTAGAAACACTTTTGTCACTTTCAAAAGAACAAAATCAAATATTTACGTGAAGATAAATAACGAGAATGGAATCTTGGCACTTTCTCCCTCCATCTCATCTGTGTGAGCGCAAGCTTATCAGCATATTGTTCACATGAGAAAAGTCTCTGAAAGAATCATTCGAGTAACTGTTAAGGATCTGCTACATATGTTAAAGTTTTGTGTCTTTTTCTTCTGCAGTGTAGAATCTATTTTATGGCAATGATATTCTTACATTTGTTTTGTACTTTTCTATGGTAACTATTACTCTATTATTATATTTGTGATCATACAGTTTTCATCACTAACGTGTAAGATATTCTGTGAATAACGAGTTACTGTTTTCAAATAAACATAAATTAATCAGCAAAACAGACAAACTAGTAGGAAGCATATATAAGTTGTTTAATGTTAGAAACTGATTAGCGAATATCATTGCTCTCTGTTTTATGCAGATTCTAATTTTTAGATAACATACTGTAATGTATATTTTGAGCAAGTGCAAAGTAAATACTAACTTGTTTGAGGCACTGGATTCGTGACTCAGCCTCAGAAATTGCACTTGTTTGAGAAATAAGGCCTTCAAGATTAGCTGAGACGTTTCCAAGATGATCAACTACAGTGACTATGGCCCTGCATATGTATTCTTTTGTATTTTCCATCACACTGCAATGTACACAAATTCCAACACACATGGGTCAGCACATCCAGCAAAAAAATCTTACAAAATTAGAAAGCTCAATGTAAAAGATGTATAATTGAATATGTTGGAAACCCCTATGATAAAAATATAATACATAGGTAGTTGCAAACATCACCTAATAAACCAGTTTTATAAGACTGAGATGAATTTAAAATTCATTTTCTAACATAATATTAAGGTTTTTTCTATTTAAATTTGTTAGGTATATTGTATCATTCACCCACTTTAACAGGGTATGTAAACATGGACCACCATAGCATAGGAGAAATGAATCTTGAACCTCATAGCAAACTGTGAAAGACAAAAGCACAAGGCTAAAGCCAAAAGCAGAAAAATAGCATTCAGATAAGAGTATGGAAGAACTAACTCTCTCTTAGCTTCACTTTTCAAGAAAGTCGTTTCACAATAATCTGCAGCATGGTGCAGCTGAGACTGCAGTTCTCTTAGCTCCTACAACCACCATAAACAAAACATGGAACTTCATTGAAAGACTGCAGAATACTAGAACAACAGAAAGAATACACACAACAAGTACTCTTGCATGTATACAGATAGATATAGAAAAACATGAACCTGAAAAGAATTTTGAAAACGCATGTCTTCTTCTACTTCAGCATCAGCTTCTGGTTTTTCAAGGCAAGGAAACTTGAAATTCACCTCCATGCTCGTGCTGCTGATTCAGAAGAACAAACAAGAGTTGAAGCAGCAAAAACAATGCCAAGTCAAATATAAGAGTTCCTTATCTTCTCCTTATGCTGAATGAGACTTGTGAATGTATATATGACTATACTATATGCCTCATTTCTGTGAATCTTACAGGGAAGTGACAAAGAAGAATCATGTCAGGAATCGAGGCTTGTGTGCTGTAACATGTTGAAAGAAACAAAATTCAATAAAGAGCAGATTAGGAAGCACAGAACAGATGGTGGAAGATGACAAACAACAGTTTCAGTCCCGTGACATTCTGTTTTTCTCTTTTGTGAGCTTTTATGTTAAAAGGCATCGTAATGACTGACACTACACTGGTACTTGCATTACAGATTTTATTTTATACCCGTTTCAAAATTGACTGAACAAAAAATTTTGAAGCTTAGAACTACTGATTTGGATTATCTTCTAAAATTCTTTTGGTAAGGGCAAGGTAATGTTGCTTTCACTCTTGTAGCGTCTCACTGTTTCTATATGTAAACAAAATCACATGTTTGCCAAAATTTTGAATGGCCCACAAATGGTTGAGATTTTTCAGATTTGGCTTTAGATAAACGGCACAAGCAACTCTGCAAAGGGCTCATGTGACGGACAGACACATTTGTAAAGGATGCCACTCACTGAAGAAATGACAGTGTGCCAAGTGTCTCAACTGAGGAAATCATTATAAGACTTTTGTTTTTGCACTATGAATACAATGACACATTTACATTCATTTCATACATCTTATAAAGGTAAAAATTTATTTGACAATATTTCTTACTTTTTATTTTCTTTTTTCTTGGAAAAAGGTAAAAGTTAACATTTTTATGACCATTTTATTTTTGTAACGTGTGTCAAATGTAAAAGTGTTTCACCCAACCATTCCTCAAGGTAAAATAGTCATACAAAAGTGAATTTTTGTATTTTGAGAAAGACTAATGGTACTATGACACACTTTTACATTTATTTGATAAATAATATAAGAATAAAATGGTCATAAAAGTGTAAACTTTTGTATTTTTTCAAGAAAAAAGATAGTAAAAAGTAAAAAAAATAGTGACAAATGAATGTAAAAAATTTATGTGTATCAAAGAATATTTTTCCTTTTAGAAAAAAAGAAAAAAGAAAAAATAACAAAAAAATATTAAATACAAAAATTTGTGTGTCAAAATATTATTTTTTTACAGGTTACTTCGAGAAAATTCAAAGTAAAGAAAGAAAAAGATTCACAACACTACTTAAATCTGAATCAACTTACTTAAGAGATTTGACAATACTTCAATCCAAAAGAAAATGAATTTAAGTTTGTAACATTTTCATTTTTATCAAACTTATACATGGATTCTCATCAGTTTTAAAGTTGGATTTTTGAATTGATAAATGTATTTGAAATGTGTTCAAATTAATTTGAATTTATACATTTTTTAAAGGGAAATTGAGTTTCACTTGATTTTAATTTTGAAGTGTTTTGTAAAAGACTATATGAAAAAGGATATGGTGATGTGATGAACATGATTTTTACTTGCTTCTCACTGCATTGACCACTACCCAGAAAGCTAGCAACCATGTGCAGTGCTTGAAATGCTATTCTTAAGATCAACTCAAAAGGGAGCTTCTTTCCCACTTTCCACAATGAATTTTTAGTTTTGTTTATACTTTCAGTAACATGTGCACCATGAAGAAGCTTTTTAATTAATGAAGCTTTTGATTTAATAATTCTAATCCCAATTACAAGAGAAAATTGAATGCGTTGATGTGGAATAGCAAACCGTTATGTTCATTTCATATTTTGACTTTTAGAGAAAACATACATAGCAATGCTGTTTTCGAACCTTAATTCAAATTTTAAAATTATAAATATTTTTCATTGCCCCAAATTTATAGAAAAAAAAAACATATATTGTTTGGGGTTGTAACATCCCAATAAATAGCAATTACTATTAATTAGAACTAATCACATTTACAGAATTAACAGTGCAGTCTTAAACATAACAGCTATTAGAAGCCGAACGTACGAGATATACAGGGTTCGGGATCTATCTACAAAATATCAAGCTCTGGACGAACGGTTTTACAAAATTAAATAATCGAACGTCCCCAAAATACAATCCAAAAACACTAACAGCTACTACTGAACGAGCGCTCTAGGGCTCGGCTTTAACCTCTACTTCAACAAGATTGGCGTCTTCCAAATTTTCTTCTTCCAGCATTTCTTCAAGTGGCGCCTCTCCGTCTGCTCACATTCACACGGATGATCATTGCATTGACAAGACGAACGTACAACAACAGTAGACAACACAAGGAATTGCAAGGGTAAGCTTAGGTAATTTAATTCATACACCCAATATAAAATCTAACATATAAAATCAACAAAACCATACACATAACAACATATCAAAGCATAGAATAACTCATCCAAATTCTCATAAATAACGACCGTCCGGACTGTATGAATCCATGTATCTACAGGCGTTCTTGCACCCGGGTGATGTAGTAACTGGAAACGTCCATCAGCTGCCACCCGAGGTTAACCCTATCAGTCCAAAGTACTCAATAGGACTAGGGCCTCCTGCCATTCCCACGCATGACCTACTCCCCTCTACATGAGGACGAGCACTCACGGAATATCAGGATGAACAGCCATCAGCAGCTTTACCATGGTCATACTACATAATTTCTCATATTCAAATCATGGAGACGTTCCTCCTTGGAACGCTCGTTCAAAATCCACTTCCAATAATTCACTCAAAATACCATNATAAAAGTCCCAGACTATGGAAGACACTACTCATAGCAACTGAACAACTTATTATTAACATCAACCAATTAACAATTGGTCTCCAGCATCCAACTATCCCTACTTAACCAAATGATCATCCGTATCATATTACCCCTAATTCACTCAAATAACTAGAATAGTTACCTTCTATTGTTTTTATTCCCTTCATAAGAAATTCAGAATTGATTTCCTTGAGTAAGACACGAATGTTGCCTAGTAGAAGAGCAGTAGCAATGCCAGATCCCATTAGACCTCCTCCAATAACAGCAACTTTTTTAACATTTCTTGGTTTAAGGCCGATATCAGTTACGCCAGGCACCTGCCAAAACATAGTTAATAAATGGTGAATAAATTATAAACCTGAGTAACCTATCAGTTGTTTCCTCAAGTTTAGCCAACATACAATGAGAAATTCATATTAACACCCAAACCCACAAAGGTCATATCTAACCATGTACCTTTGTTATAGCCCGCTGAGCAAAGAATACATTAATTAAACCTTTTGATGTGTCCGACACAACTAATTGCTTGAACACTTCTGCCTCCTGTAATTAGAATTAATTATTAGCTTTGAATGATAACAATGCTAGACCTAAAACTACATCTATCTCGGACTATAAATATGAGAAGAAACTGAGTCAATAAAAATGAAGGAAGAAAGCACATGTTTCCTTCTGAACAAAGACTATATCTTAGAACTAATAATACCTTTAGCACACCACTATAGCCACCATGAACTATTCCATGTTCAATCACATCTACGCAAGCCTGCTGCTGAGGCAAATGTGGAGCAGTCTTCTTGACATGTTGCCTGGCAGTTCCCAACACCTGACGTGCTTCAGACAGAGAACCAATTTTGTCTGTCCTATGAAGTGAACGAACCCAAGGTTTGCGCCTCTCTCCTATTTCAAGAGCCCACAACCTAGATACCTTTAGTAACTCCTCAGAGGACACAATGGAATCAATAAGTCCTAATTTCCTCCCTTCTTCCGACGTAATAGGTTTAGATGTCTGCAAGAAAAGCAACATCAAAATTAACATATTTGTTCTGCATCACAAATAAGCACAGTAATGAAGATCCCAGAGTATTATAAACATAGAGTTGTTCCTTTCTAACTATTCTTTCAAAGTCTACATTCATCAATTTAGTGTGTGCAATTATTTTTGACACTTTGCTAACAAAGGTCTCCAGTTTTCCCACTTTTTTCTTTTCTTTTTCTTTTTACATTTCACAAATTGCTAAATATGCTTTGGGGTTCATCTACCATGGTAAAAAATGCAGTGGGAACACAAACAAATGAAAACAATGGCCAGTGTCTTACCAGCATCATTTCAACAGCTTTAGACAGCCCAATAAGCCTTGGAAGACGTTGTGTTCCTTAAAAATTACAAATTTGTTAATATTATTTTCAGCAAGTGCTACTAAATGACGAAAAGTTCCTCACTCATGATCCAGATTACTGAATATACATGCAAGCAAATCTTGATTACCTCCAAATCCAGGAATAATACCAAGAGTCAGCTCTGGTAGACCCAATTGAGCTCTCGGAGCCGCAATACGTGCATGGCATCCCTACACAACGAAATGTTGTTAACTTCATGCACTAATGAAGACACTTTGACAACAATTCCTATTTAAAGGAACAGCATCGCTCCTCAACTAGGAAAAACTAACCATAGCCAGTTCTAAGCCGCCTCCAAGAGCAAGCCCCTCTACTGCTGCAACAACAGGCTTCTTCGAATCTGAATTTGTGAATAATATTAATTAATATTACTGAGAAAGTAACATTTTCAGAAGCACCAAGAAAATGTCTCCATCAAGGTAAGCGCAAACTAAAAGAATTGTTACAAGTTACAACCTTCAATCGCATTGACTACTAGTTCCACGGAGACATCAGGGAGATGCGAGGAATCCCCTGCCAAGAAAAAACAGCAAATACAGCTAATTCAAAGTTCAAAATCTTTCAAGACTCATAACCGTAACTGATCTAAATTTTGTAATCTGAACTTTACAAAGCGTATGTGTAATCACACTATCATATCTTACCGGTATCGTGAACTTTCTTCATAACACTGATATCAAAGCCACCAGAAAATCTCCCACCTTTGCCTGAAATTAAAGAGGAAACAAGATAAAACAATCACACATGCAAAATTCCTTACTTGAACAATGAATTGTGTAAAGCAACGGCAGCATCGTCGTAAGATAAACCTAGACACTTACCAGTCAAAACTATAGCTTTCACATCATTCCTTCTAGCTGCCTCATCAAATCTATCTTTCAACCCCATGATAACTGATCAAAACAATCAAAACATCCCACATAATAAATTCATGAAATAAATAAAATAAAAAACAAGAATTGCCAAAGAATGAAGAATTGGTGAATCAAACTGACTTGGAATGGCCAAAGCATTGACGGGTGGGTTGCCCATAGTGATGACAGCAACCCCATCAGCTCCAACCTCAAAATCAACCTTAGGCAACGCCATCTCCGAGCGAAACAAGTCCCAAGTTCCTTCCTTTTCGAATCAAGTTATATTTTTTTCACATGAAATTGACAGAATACAAGATGGGTTTAAGGAGGATAAAGCCAAAGACTGTAATGGAAAGTGGCAATCAATTGAACTTCGTGGGGTATTTCCCCACTGACCAGAAAATAGAAAATATGAAAGTGAAGAAATTATGTTAAAAAAATAATATTTTTCACACACTTTTGGTATCTTCTTAAATAAAATTATTTATTTAATGTTAGATTGCCACTTAAATTGCATAAATTTTGAAACTTTAAAATAAATTAATTGACATATCATTTTTCATAAACTGTTATACTAAATGGTAAGAAGAATTTTATAGAAATTGAATATATTATATTCAAATGGGAACTAAGATATGTAATCATAATAAAACTAATCATCATGATCTTCTTTTTATATTTATAAATTTTAATGAATAAAAAAAACAACATAATTATTGACTTCACCGACCAAGTGAGAAGAATGTGTTCTTAAAAAAAAGGCGGAAAAAAATTGTTTAACAATCATACACAAGCACCCCCATGGTAAGTTCGTGAAACCGCGAAATATGATCTGTTGAAGCTCACAGATTGATGATAATATAATATCCGACCGCTGATTCGTACCGACACGTTTCTTAACTGCACAACGTAAGCTATGCCAACTGTAGGAAAAATTTGTTAAATAAAAAATGGGCTTTTTTTCTTATACTTTATTTCAGATCAAAAAAGGTTGTGATAAATAATTTTTAATTTCTATTATAATAATGTTTTTCTAATATTCCAACTCTCTTTAACATACTTAATCACAATTAACTATTAGTAATAAATTGTTTTCACTTTAATAAGTATTAATTTTGAAGAGAAAAAATGGTTATGATTCTCTTACAAGATTCAACATCACTTAATTAAAAATGTATTCATTAATTAACACTTTCACGATATTAACATTTAAACCAAAAAAGGAAAAACACATGCATGAGATTTACCAAAAAAATGTATGGCTAAATCAGTTATTTGTTCAGGTTTAATTATTTCATAAGCTAAATTAAAATATTTTAAAATACGTGTAAGACTCCAGAAAAATAAATATATTTATTCTTTTAAGAAATTAAAATTTATTAATAGACAAATTTCAGTCCGTGAAGATTATAAATTTCAAGTTTTAATTCAAAAATGTGTTTGAGCAAATTGATGTATAATTATAATTAAGAGAAACGATATTTGATGTATACAAATTTTTTATGTTTTAATAAAATACAAAAATTCATTTTTTATGATTATTTTATTTTTGTAATATGTATTAAATGAATGTATAATTATATATGTGAATATTCAGTGGGCCAGTTGGAAAAAGACGACAGAGGGTTGTTGTAGATGTTAATGGTTGGAAAAGTTAAAAGTATGGTTAGTGTGGTACGAACTTTTGAGGATCTTTGCATGAATTTAAGATAGTAGTTGTTAGAACAGTAAGAATAAAATAATGGGTTAAATATATTTTTAGTCCTTAAATTATGGTCCCTCTTTTAAAATAAGGTACAATTTGGTCCTCATTCTTTTCGAAACGTTCGTTTTAGTCCTTGAAACTTTGGTTTTAGTCCTCGTTTTGTTGACTAAATGAGGACCAAATTTTTAACGGTGTTAGTTTTTGAGGATTAAAACGAACTTTTCGAAAAGAATGAGGACCAAATTATAGCTTATTTTGAAAGAGGGACGAAAACCAGAAACGACCAATAGTTTAAGGACTAAAAACATATTTAACCCTAAAATCATTATAGGTAAAATGGAGATTTAGATAGTAAGATTTTATTATTTTACATTGTAATAAAATTATTAGAATTGTTCAATAAAATCGTAAAGTTGCGTGATTTTTTTTTAGATGAATGTATTGAGTTTGAATAAAACATAAATCTAATTAAAATTTAATACGATTAAAATTTTATCATATTCATTGATATTCAATTTATGTTTTTTTCAGTGGCAGAATGCTTATTTTCTTTCCTTATGAATGATTTTAATTAAAATAACATTTAAATCTAATTAAAATTTGAAGGAGTAGTGTTGTACTTTTTACCTTTTTAATGAATTTTAACTAAAATAAAACTCAATTGAGAGTGATGATAAATGAGATTTTAATTAAAACAAAATTTAAATCTAATTAAAAATAAAAGAAATTCTTTCTTCCCTCTTAACTTTTTTGACTGAATTTCAACGAATTAAAATAAAGCTAAATTAAAATAAAATACTTTTTTTATGTTACATCCTTGAAAAATTTATGGTTAAGATTATAAGAGGTTTACAAAGTGATTAATTTTGTGAATTTAAGTTTGATGATGTATTGACAAAGAATTGATTTTATTCCAATAATTTGTCGTGTTCATGGTAGAAAATATAATTTACGTATCATAAAGCTCACGGTTTATAAACTCAATCAATTATTTTTATTATAATAAATGGAAAAAAATTACATAACATTTTATCATAAATTTAATAACATATAAAAATGTTTATTATTTCTTTTTTATCTTGATCATTGTGTTTTTTATTCTCTTTTTTTTCCTTTGTTTTTATGGTCTAACTAGTATAAAATGAAGTAAAACATATTACGAATAAGAATATGTAAAAATATAGATATTTTCAACAAAAGAAAAGTAAAAATGACAAAGAAATAAAAATAATAACAAACTCCATTATATTGTTTATGTTATCTCTCTTCTATTTTTTATCTCATCAATCTTATATTTAAAAAGAAAATAGGTCAATGAACCAAACTCAATAATTTATGACATGTAAAGCCATTTGGATGTAATAAAATAAATCATTCACTTCTAACAAAAATGTCTTAGGCAATTGGTTCATTCAATAATATTAGTTTTTATAATAACTATATTAAAAATTATATTTATAATTTTTATTGACTGCGTAAAAGTTTCAATACTGGCAATACATACATATTAACTTATATAATATCAAATTACGATAAAAACAATTTTTAATTTAGAGTTCAGCGGGACATGTCTACTACAAAAAATTATTATAATAATAATTTAAAAATAACAAAAAAATATTAAAATAATAATTTAAAAATTACAAAAAAATTATTATAACTTTAAAAATTACCAAATAAAATGGGTTGTAATGCATTTATGCTCATGAGCCCAATTTCTGACCCAATAGGCCCAACTCATCTCATAAAGACATCCAACCAATTTTGAAGGAAAAGTTGTTGGATTAAATAAGACTGTACTTATTACATTTAATTGTTATTATTTTAAAGTTTGATATATTCTAATTTTTAAACTTTAAAATAAGTTAATATAATTTTTTTAATTTAATTATTTTAATTTTTTAATGTGTTAAGCGACATTTTTAATTGACATTTTAATATAAACATTACCGTATAAACCACTCAAAAGCTAATTAGGTGAAAAAGACGGTATCTATTATTTTTTTAAAATTTGAGAATTATTAAAATCTAGGTTTAAACCCTCCCTTGATCCTCAAGTTTGTATGAAAATCTCATTTGGGTCCTCAAGTTTTTTTCGGTCTCAATTGGGTCATATTTTTTGTAAAAGTGAGCACATTGTACCATAACCGTTAAGTGGTGTGAGACGGCGTTAAATTGGTGTGAGCTGGTGCACAGAGAATGTGGTGATGTGTTTAGGGTTTCTTACGTGGACTGTTTTGTTTAAAAAAATAGTGCTGATGTGGCATAAGTACCCTTTATTCATACTAGGTATATCAGAATTAGGGATTTGAAAATTGGAATTGGGGATTTAATTTCGTTGTTGCGAGGAAGCTGAATCGGTAACTGCAAACGACGCGGTTGGTCCGGCGAGCGAGTGCGAACATTCATGGTTTTCAGAGGATAGTAAGTTGAAAGATGAGTCAGTGTTTGGTATTCCTGAGGACGTTGTATTCGGATTTGAAAGCACTTTGGATATGTTTGACGAGTGTGATAACAACGTTCTCTGTGCACCTCTGTGCACCAGCTCTAAACACATCACCACATTCTCTGTGCACCAGCTCACACCAATTTAACGCCGTCTCACACCACTTAACGGTTATGGTACAATGTGCTCACTTTTACAAAAAATATAACCCAATTGAGACCGAAAAAAACTTGAGGACCCAAATGAGATTTTCATACAAACTTGAGGATCAAGGGAGGGTTTAAACCTAGATTTTAATAATTCTCAAATTTTAAAAAAATAATAGATACCGTCTTTTTCACCTAATTAGCTTTTGAGTGGTTTATACGGTAATGTTTATATTAAAATGTCAATTAAAAATGTCGCTTAACACATTAAAAAATTAAAATAATTAAATTAAAAAAATTATATTAACTTATTTTAAAGTTTAAAAATTAGAATATATCAAACTTTAAAATAATAACAATTAAATGTAATAAGTACAGTCTTATTTAATCCAACAACTTTTCCTTCAAAATTGGTTGGATGTCTTTATGAGATGAGTTGGGCCTATTGGGTCAGAAATTGGGCTCATGAGCATAAATGCATTACAACCCATTTTATTTGGTAATTTTTAAAGTTATAATAATTTTTTTGTAATTTTTAAATTATTATTTTAATATTTTTTTGTTATTTTTAAATTATTATTATAATAATTTTTTGTAGTAGACATGTCCCGCTGAACTCTAAATTAAAAATTGTTTTTATCGTAATTTGATATTATATAAGTTAATATGTATGTATTGCCAGTATTGAAACTTTTACGCAGTCAATAAAAATTATAAATATAATTTTTAATATAGTTATTATAAAAACTAATATTATTGAATGAACCAATTGCCTAAGACATTTTTGTTAGAAGTGAATGATTTATTTTATTACATCCAAATGGCTTTACATGTCATAAATTATTGAGTTTGGTTCATTGACCTATTTTCTTTTTAAATATAAGATTGATGAGATAAAAAATAGAAGAGAGATAACATAAACAATATAATGGAGTTTGTTATTATTTTTATTTCTTTGTCATTTTTACTTTTCTTTTGTTGAAAATATCTATATTTTTACATATTCTTATTCGTAATATGTTTTACTTCATTTTATACTAGTTAGACCATAAAAACAAAGGAAAAAAAAGAGAATAAAAAACACAATGATCAAGA